TAGAGGACAGAGTGGAGCTGCACCATACGGTCTCCATGGCTGTCACCTTTCTCCTGTGGAGTGGTTGGTTAATGGGTTCAAACCGCCAACCTGTAGGTTAGCAGTTGAGTGCTTAACCCTTGTGCCACCAGGGCTCTTTTCCTGGGGCTGCTGGGGAGATAAATAAACATGTCTGTGAACGTGCAATGCCAGGCAACCCCACTGTGTCCGTGTGACATCTGTGACCCCCTCACACTGCACTCTCCCCTCTTCCTGACTCAGTTTTCAGGTGGGGAGGCTGAAGCCCAGATTGGTAGACACTAGCCAGGGCCACGGTGCACACACCCACAGGCAGAGCCAGCTGTGACCCCAGGACTGGCTGACCCCCATCCTCTGCCCCCACTCATCGCCCAAAGGACAAGCCCAGAGTGGAGCCCTCGCCTGGGCGGGTCCCACGAGCAGCCGTGAAGGGGGCGCGAGTGGATGGGACCCCAGCCACGCCTAAGGTGGCCCAGCAGAGGCAGCCTGGCTGAGTCATCAGGGTGGCCCACGTGCCCAGGCGCCCGGCCGCCGCCAGCCTCCTGCTGGGCCATGGCCCTCGCCAAGGTGAATGAAGTCCTCGCGGCCGGCGGCGTGAATGGGCGCCCGCGCGGCCCCGCCTGCTGACCCGGCCTCTCGGGCTGGATGCCGGCATCCGTGACCTAGAATCTCAGCTGCTGTCCGCTGCCCAAAGAAAGGGACGCTGGGGGAGGTCCTGGGCTGGCGTGGCTGCAGTCGGAAGGGGTGTGGGGGTCAGAGAAGTCTCCCTGCCAGCCCCTGTCACTTGGTCACGCTCTGCCTTCATGGAGCTCAGGGACGGGAATTCCAGGGACTCAGGCCAACCCTGACACGTGGGCCCTGCGGGAGGGGCGGCAGCGGAGGGGGATGGGGACGGACGTGTCCTGTGGCTTCTGACATAACACCATCACTCCTGCTTGAGAGATGCTTTAGGAAACAGACCCGCAGAGGGGCCCCTGCTGGCCCTCACATGAACGAGAAGGGGCCTCCAGCCGGCCCACCGGCACTTCCTAGCACCACAGCTAACCAGAAGCAGAAACAACAGGTGCGGCGGCCCGCCTGTCACCCACCCAGGGGCACACCCCCAGCTCACAGGCCTGCCAAGCCCTGTGAGGATGGAGCCTCTGAGCCCATGTGGGGTGATGAGAACTCACACCCAAGACCCTGCTGAGGGCGAGTGAGGAGAAGCCGGGGTGCAGCCACGGTGTGCTGGCAGCCCCCTGGTGTCTCGGTCCCTTGCTGCCTCCGTCCACCACCCCACCCTGTGAAGGCTCAGCCCTCCGGGCCCCAGTGCTCACAAAAGGCCGAGCCTCTAATCCCAAGCTTACAGCAGCTGGCAGAGGCGTGGGACAATTAGTCCCCCGACTATAAAAAACTCATTACCGCAGGGAGCAGGGCTGGCCCACATTCCTCAGGTGCACCCGTGGCCCAGCCGGAGATGGGTGGCTGGGTAGGGCCTGTGAGCACAGCTGGTCATGAGCCCAGGACCCAAAGGCCACATCGCACCCCCGGGGCTGCCCCGTGACAAAAGTGCAGGGCTCACGGCCTCCCAGGCCCCCAGGCCCGCTCAGGGGCCCTCTCAGCCCCCACCCTACAGGGCCCTGTCAGCCACCCCCTCCCACCGCAGCTTTCCCACCTGGCACACCTAGCCCAGGAGGCCTGCCGTTCCTACCTGACCCCCACGTTCCAGGACTCAGCTCACCGGCCACCACCTTTAGGATGCCGACCCTGCCCCCGGAACCCGCTCTGCTAACCCGACGCTCACAGGGTGATGTTACGGGCCTTCAGGGACACCCTGTCGCTACCTGCACCCCATGGTGTGTCTGGCCTTGGTCCCAGCCGCCAGCCAGAGCTCCTTGAGGCTGGGCCACACCCGAGTCACCTGTGACCCCAGAGTGTGGCTCAGAGCTTGACAGCTGTCAGCCTCCACGCTGGCTGCGGATGAAAGTGGGGTGCAAAAGCGCCCCAGCCCAGGCCTCCCGGGGGGACTCTGTACTGCTTGTTTGGGGAAGGGCGGAGAGAAAAAGTCTTGCCCAGTTTTGCTGCATTATACACATGGGGCCACATATACACATGTGGTCACATTACACATGTGTGGTAACATTATACACACATGGTCACATTATACATGTGTGGCCCATCATACATGCAGGAGCATGTTATACATACATGACCACATTACATATGTGTGGTCACATTATACACATGGGGCCACATTATACACGTGGTCACATTATATGTGTGTGGCCCACCATATATGCAGGAACATATTATACATGTGTGACCAACCACATTACACATGTGTGGTCACATTATACACATGGGGCCACATTATACATGTGGTCAAATTATACATGTGGTCACATTATACATACATGGCCACATCATACATGCAGGAACATGTTATACATATGCGACCACCTTACACATGTGTGGCCACATTATACACATGGGGTCACATTATACATGTGGTCACGTTATAGATGTGTGGCCACTTTACTCACGTGTGGCCACATCATACACATAGGGCCACATCATACACACAGGGCCACATCATACACGCGTGTCCACATGATACATGCGTGTCCACATTACACACACAGGGCCCATCGATATGATCGCGTGGGCCAACTGAAGGTGGCAGAAGGTGCTGTCCAGGTCTGGGCCGAGGCTTGAGGAGCCCAGAAGGCCCCACTCCTGTTCTCTCGGAGCCCAATTGCCACGTCAGGAAGCCCAGGCCATCTTGCTGGAACAAGGCCCCCAGAGGAGAGCTGAGGCCTCCCGGCCAACAGCCAGCACCAGGCCCCAGACACGAAACCAGCCTGGACCTTGCAGCTGAGTGCCAGGGCCGAGTGACCCCAGCTGACACCACCTGGAGCAGAGACAAGCTGTGCCCACCGAGCCCAGAGCCCTGACCCAGAGTCACAGCTGACAAAACAGCCTTTGTCCTAAGCCACTAACCTTTGGGGTATTTGTTAGGTTTTATTAGGATTATTATTTTTCAGGGAGGCTGGGCTGAGGCTTAGGGATGAGTCTGCTCAGCACGGACAGCCAGGACCCGGGCTGGCACTCTGTACCCGCAGCCAGATTCTTCCCGGCACCCATAATGTGGGCACAACAGTCCCCATGGCACGAGGACACTCGGGGTCAGGGAGGTCGTGAGAACGGCCCATGTCTGTGGAACCTGCTGGTGAGCTGTGCGTCGTCATGGGAACCCTCGGAGGAAGAGGAGGGCCTAGGACACCGTGCCTGCGCCCGGGCTGTGCTGAGACCACCCCAGGAGGAAGAGTGGAGGCTGAGAGAGAAGCGGCAATGCCCAGGTTATCTGGCAGACGCCCAATTGAACCGCTTCACGGTGCACTGTGCACAGGAGAGGAGGGGCTGGGCTGGCCCCCAGGCGGGCCTTACGGGACACAAGGGCAACACCACGGCCCCTTCCTTGAGCACCAGGGACAGTCCGGAGATGACCAGCAAACACGGTGCCGGCGCAGAGGGTAGGGTCAGGTCCCTGTCACTGCTCCCCGTCATGCCCTGGGCAGCACCGGGCTGACCACCTGGCAGAGCATGGGCTCTGGGTCCAGCCCCTGGGCCCAGGTCCTGGCCCCACCCTGTGCAGACGACTGGCCTGAGCGAGTCACCAACCACTCTGAGCCTCACTTCCCTCATCTGTAAAATGGGGTTGTGAGGCTGGACGCTAACCCCCCAGTGTATCAAACACCATCAGGTCCCCCGTGAGGACTGCGTTCAGCGGAGCTTCTGGACCAAGGAACAAAGGTCTGGCCATCCACGTCTGAAAAATCAGACCATGAAGAGCCCACGAACCCCAATGCACGTTGTCCTACAGGGTGCTGGTGGCTGAGCCCCCCAGGCTGGAAGGCATCACGATGCGCAGAGCCCCAACAGTGGACTCCTCCGTACCAGCGACGGGGAACGTGGAACAGGGCCGGCTGCGCGATGTACTCGAGTTTGCCACCGCTTGGGAGAGTTAACAAGAGGGTGACCCACACTCGCCCGGCTGGGCGGGAGTGAGCCTCGGACCGTCACAGTAAGGACTCTGGCGTGCGCAGCCGCCTCCTGGTCGCCTCCCCGGGGCTCAGGTGCCCAGAGCCACCCGTGCACACAGTGAACCACTGAGCAGGCTACAGACTAGGATGGAGCTCGTCCGCTTCTGCGCACTAGACCCAAACGCACAGCGCAGGCGCGGAAGCTGGAAGCAAGCCAGGCCTGCCGGGCAACCACAGAGACTTCACGGTCAGCCTAGACCGGACGAGGCCGGAGCCGCAGCGGGTGATTCACAGACCGCAATCTGGCAAAACCAAACCCAAACCCAACGCCGCTACTCGGCAGGCAACTGGCTCACGTGACCCCAAGAGGTACAGCCTCCCTGCACTCAGAGTTCTAGATGGTTCTTCAACACTGTGCTTGGGCCAATTGCAACCGCAAAATCCCTGACGGCGTGGAAAGTGTGGCCCTAAGTTGATTGCAAGGAGGGAGGTTCTTTGTGAAGCAAGAGGTCTGAGCACCGCCTACAGGCCCGCTGGGAACCTGTACCTCCACTGAGAACCTGCACCGCGGGGGGCACTAACTCCCCGCTGCTCTGTGCATGGCCGCCAGGCCGCATTCCCGGGTTGCAAAGACACTTTAGTCAGGAGGTGAATGTGCAAATTCAGGGTCCCCAAGTTCACGGGGAGATGCTGCCACGTGGCCTAGTGCACCTGTGGACCTCCAGTCCCCAGCAGTCACAGGATGGGGGAGGACCACTGAGCCCAGCCACAGGTCAGACCCCACCACTCACTGCTCTCACGCCCCAAGTCTTACGATCTACCAGTCTGCAAAAGAGGAGGGGCCGGCGTTCCTTTGGGAGGCAAAATGGTTGGCACTTGGCTGATAACCAACAGGCTGGCGGTGCCAACCACCCAGTGGTCCTGCACAAGAAAGACCTGGCCGTCTCCTTCCATGAAAATGGCAACCACATTGTACTCTGTAACACGTGGGGTCTCCAAAGTCACACACCAACAGCAAAACGAAGTCAACAACTAAACAGAAGGGGGTCCAAGGGCTCGGCCAGCCAAGAGGATGCTGGCCAATGTCCCACCTCACCCCCCAGCCTCTCCAGCCGGCCCCAGCGCAGGCTTGGGAAGCCATGCACACCGTCAATACACGCACTCAAAGACCACGGCGCAGGCAGATCACTGCCGGCGCACTCTTCTGGCTCTGGTTCCCACGGCCTGCAGCTCTGACCGTCCCTGACTCCTGCCCTCAGTTTCCACACGTCTGTCCACCCCTCTGCCTCCCTTAGCGCTCAGACTCCCAGCTCCCTGCGGTCCAGGGCCCAGAATGCGGCTTCCCTGTGCTCCACAAGTCCTGCTGCCCCTGCCACGAACATGGCCCTGCCTCGGGGCTCAGCTCCTCCAAGGTGGGGTCCACATGGGCCAGCTGGACCAGGCTGGCTCCTGGCTCTCGGCTCCGGGCTGGGGTGCAGTCAGGTTGCCTGGATGTCCACACCAGCACAGACAGCAGGACAGGACACGACCCTCAGGCCAGGGGACCCAGCCACCCGTCTCTAGCATCTGCCTGCTCTGCCCTGTGGAACCTCGATGTGGCAGAGCCTAGGAGCCGGGGGCCTGCTGCCACCTCGCTGTGCCATGTGACCTGCCACGGGGGCCAGAGCAGGGTCAGCAGGCGTCAAGCCTGCTCCCAACCCAGTAAGCCAGGGACGTGGACTACCCGACGCATCCTCACGCTGAGGCCAGTGGTCTCAGCAGCCTTGTGACAGGTGAGAAAGGCCACATGGGCAGACATTACCTGGAATGCAGGCCACAGGGCCCCAAGCCTGCGTTCCCTCTTTTGCGCTGGGGAGATGACCTGTCTGGCAGGAGGTCTGGGCTTACTAGACCCCTGGGGTGCATGCCCTTGGCGCTCCTGCCTCCCCACACCAAGCCCAATGACCACGGCCCCCACACTGACTGTGACCACTACACTGATCGTGGTCCCCATGCTGACCGTGGCCCTGCCTGGACGCCACACCCCGGAGGCCTCCTGGGCCCCAGCTCAGCAGCACGTGTGGCACGAGTATCTCCTGTAAAGAGCGGAGAGGGCTTCGCACGCCCCCTCAGACCGCACGCCCACACCCGCACCCACGGAAAGCACAGTCCTGGTCCACGGTGAAGCACCCAGCGGTGGCCCCAGTCATCCCAAACTGCCCCTGGCCGTGGTTCTGGCCAGACCTGTGTCAGCCCTCCGTAGGAGGACCAGAGACCCCGCAGTGCCCCCCTCACGCTCCTGGAGTCAGATCCGGAGCTGTTTCCACAGGCCTGCTCTCTGCTTGGCGCTTACCTCTCGGGGGTGGTCACCATGCACGCTCTAGCAGCACTAGGCCAGAGCAGGGGCCCTGCACACCACAGGGGGACCCCACTCAGCCCTCTCCTGGGCTCTGCTGTCATATCCATGCAGTAGATACTTCCTGCTGCCCAGGGCTCCTAGGGGGTTGTGGGGTGATGGGGACGGGGGTGTCCACAGGACACACATGCTGGTTTGTGAACACTCTCTGTCCACTCAGGGCCCACCAGGAGCTAGCAAGTCCTTGGGGAAGGCCTGAATGTGGACACCCTGGGGGCTCTGACCCAGGGCCACGGGGTTGCTGGGATGAGACCTGGCTCCAGAGACACTGGGGTGCATCCTGCATGGGCTCCTGTCTCCACATGGGCCCTCGCCCTCCAGCCCAGGAAGAGCAGAGCCGAGGGCTTCTGTCTGCAGGGCACCTGGGGGAAACTGAGGCAGAGACACAGCTACCCTCTGGCACATGTGTGTGGGGCCAGTCAGCTCAGAACTGAGGTTTCCTAGGGAGCCTCAAGGCTGACAGCAGCCTCCTAGGATCAGAAGGGGTAGGAGCCGGGGCCCGTTATACTTACAGTACCCACACCTGGTCCCGCCTTCAAAGATGAACCCATTGGGCACTGCCCCGTAGCGCCGCAGGTCTGACAGCTTCCACTGGCCTGTGACGGCTGGGGGCACGTCCCTGGCCAGCACCAGGATGTCATTGCAGAGGTGGAGGGTGGCCGGGCCGCTCTGGAGTTTGGTGCCTGGGGCCACCGTCACATGGAACCTGTGCACTGGAAGGGACAGAGCGTGAGAGGGCATGACCACACCAGGACCAGGGACGGTGCCCCCACCCCACCCAGCCACAGAGGGCCCTGGGATCCAGCACCCAGTCTCAGCTCCAGAAGGCAGGTCACTGGCTGCCCCCACTGTGCCCCTGCCCCCCACGGCTGCTCTCTGGTTGTCTTTCTGTCCACCTCCACTGACCACAGCAGCCAGCTGACAGAACCCAGGACCCAGAGCTCAGGGCTGCTCCGCCCTCCTCCTCCTCCCTCCTCTCAGGGACAGGCAAGTTCCCCAGCCCCACCCACTCATCCCCCATCCACACAAAGCTAGCTCCACTCCTGGGAAACCGAGGCCAGTGGGTACAGAGGCCACTGCTGGACACCTCCCCCTCCCAGCCCCCGGGACAGAGGGGACCAGAAAACGCTCCTGCCTGTGCGCACAACCCAAGTCCCAGCGCAGGGCTTGCAGGCGGTCGGGCAGGTTGGGAGGGGACTGCGGGGCCAGGGCCAAGAGTGGCTTTGTTCAAGATCTGGGCCTTGTGTTGACGCTGGGTGCTTCCTGTTCGTTTGGACTGTTTTGAATGTTGCAGTAAAATGCTGTTCACTCTGAGGGCTGAGTTGGGGCCCTGAAATCCTGCCCCCTCCTCACCCCGCTCTGGCCCCGCCTCACCCCGCCCTGGCCCCACCAAGCCCCAGCCTGGCCCCACCAAGCCCCGCCCTGGCTCCATCAAGCCCCGCCCCGGGTCCCCCACTAAGCCCTGGCCCCTGCCCACTCCTCACCCCTTCCCTGGCCTCTCCAAGCCCCGCCCCGGGCCCC